TCTAGCATTTCAGGGGCATAAAGAATGGATCAATGAGGTGAATTTTCTAGGAGTAGTGAATCATCCAAATCTTGTAAAGTTAGTTGGATATTGTGCTGATGACGACGAAAGAGGGATGCAAAGGCTTCTTGTTTACGAACTTATGTGCAATAAAAGCTTGGAAGATCATCTTCTAGGCAGAGTCATGTCTGTATCTCTTCCGTGGATGACGAGGTTGAACATTGCTCGAGACGCTGCTCAAGGCTTAGCTTATCTTCATGAAGAAATGGATTTTCAGGTTTGTTTGTATCTCATTTGCATCTAAAAACGGATTAGGATCGTTTGTGTTTTGGTTTTTTTTTTATTTTGCTTATGCTAATTTTTGCAGCTGATTTTTCGAGATTTCAAGTCTTCAAATATCTTGCTTGACGAGAGATTTCGTGCTAAACTCTCGGATTTCGGATTAGCTAGGCAAGGACCTCCCGAAGGACTTGGCCATGTCTCAACTTCAGTATGTATCTCTTATTAGAGAACTCTCTAAGGTAACATTTCTTGAGTTCGTAACTTTTCTTGTTTGAAAGGTTGTAGGAACGATTGGTTACGCGGCTCCCGAGTATGTACAAACCGGTAAATTGACAGCAAAGAGCGATGTTTGGAGCTATGGGGTCGTGTTGTATGAACTGATCACGGGAAGACGAGCAATGGACAGAAATCTACCTCGGGGGGAACAGAAGCTTCTAGAATGGGTGAAACCTTATGTATCTGACTCGAAGAAATTCCATGTGATTGTGGATCCACGGCTTGAAGGCCAGTACTACTGTATGAAGTCTGTTCAGAGAGTAGCTGCATTAGCAAACAAATGTCTAATGAAACAACCGAAATCTAGGCCTAGAATGAGCGAAGTCGTTTCACTTCTTGGAAGCATCATCGATGAAGAGAGGGAAAATGCTCCTTCGACACTTGCTGATGAAACAGAAGAGATCGTTATAGCCGGAGTAGAGAGTGAGCCTGAGCTGACGAAGCAAGGGAGTAATTATATGAAAAAAGTTCTTGATCTCAGGGATAAGATGAACTTAAACAAGTCGCTTTCGAAGCTAGACTGGCGAAACTGGACACCCGGACTGGTTAGAACATGGTAGAAAGATAGTGTCTTCACTGTAAATAAATCTTCTTAGCCAAAAAAAAAATGAAACTAATGCAAAAAATGTCTCTTGTTTGTTACTATCAAATCGCTTTGTTTTGCATTGTGTATATGTTTGGAAAGCATATTTTCTTCTGTTCCCTAATCGAACTTGAAGTCGAAATCTGAAGACATGAGAGATCACTTATATATATGTCAGTTAATTCTTGCATTACAAAGATCAAATCTCAAATCTCTGCGTCATGTAAAAAGCACCATGAACTGAATCCTTTCGGTACATAAGCAGAAGCAAAACTGTACATCTGATCTGAACTAAACAGAACATCATCGTTCGTTTCTTCCTCAGACAAACAAAGGTGAATCAGACGGGCGTGGATAAGCAGCTGCTATACCGCCCACAGCTGTTTGCCGAGCAAAACCAGCATTTGGTTTTTGGCTGATTGCAACACTATCGCTTCTCCTACGCATTCTTCTCTCGAGCTTATCAACGGTTTGTCCTCCTGCTTCATGCAAAGTTTGGATGTGCTCGAGGTGAGAAACAACCTCGGTCATGTTTGGCCTCAGCTTTATCTCTTTTGTGAGGCATCTCAACGCCAGAGTAGCTACTTTACATGCTTCTTCCATTGTGTATTGATCTTGAAGACGGTTATCGAGAACTCGGAATACCTTTCTTTTGTTTGCAAGAAATGGTTTTGCCCAGTCCACCAGCTTTTGCTCTCCCGGTGGACGGTTCTTATCCACAACTCTCCGTCCAGACAACATCTCCAAAAGCACGACACCGTAGCTATAGACATCACTCTTGGTTGTTAAATGACCTGAGGAAAGTGAAAGAGTAATGGTCATCAGAAAGAAATTATCAAATCACAGAAAGAAAAGACTTTTGAGACTAACCAGTCGCAAGGTATTCAGGAGCTGCATATCCGTAAGTACCCATGATCCGTGTAGAGACATGGCTTTTATCACCCATGTCTTTAGCCAACCCGAAATCAGAAAGCTTGGCATTGTAATCCTGTGATCAAAGAGAGAGGGTGTTTTCCTTTTCAACATAAAGCCTTAAACATTCATAGCAGAGACAGCAAAAAAGAACCGGAAATATATACCGAATCAAGAAGTATATTAGAAGTTTTGAAATCGCGGTATATGACTTGAGTCTCGGCGCTGTGAAGAAAAGCAAGGCCTTTTGCAGCACCAAGAGCAACTTTCAACCGGAGAGTCCAAGATAAGGGTTGGAAATAAGAACCTCCTGCAACCGCAAGAACCGAGATTGAATACTAAAAACGTTTCGAATCAATAGAATCATGCGAATAGACAAGGAGAAGAGACAATACTTACTTCTGAACAAATGATTCTCTAAGCTGCCTCGAGGCATGAACTCATACACAAGAAGACGATGTTCGTCCTCTAAGCAATAACCAATCAACTTCACAAGATGAGGATGCGAAAACTGCCCCAAGTAATTCACTTCCGCCTACAACAGCATCATCAAAGAAACATAATCAAATCTTTTAATCTTTGACAAAAACATAATATCAAACTGATTAGCTTCTTGAGTTATACCAGCCATTCTTGATGACCTTGCCAACCATCATGGTTAAGCTTTTTGACAGCGATAACCATACCGGTTCCCGGTTTAGAAGCAGTGAGAGATTGCTCATCAATCCATCCTTTAAAGACACAACCGAATCCACCTTCACCAAGAACACTGTCTGGTCTGAAATTCCTAGTTGCTGATTTGAGCTCAGCAAAGCTGAAACTTTTGAGGTTAGGAGATTGCAAGATCTCTCCTTCGGTTCGAGGGCTTGTCCTGATAGACACAGAGGAGCCTTTGCTTCCCAAACTTTGTGTATCATTGGCTTCTGAGCTCATATACTTGGGACTCGTACCTATGCAACCACCAAACACAAAGTTTATGTACCAAAAAACTTTAGATTTCAGTTTTTTCACAATACCGATTTCCGCAAAACCCATTGCTTTGTTGGTAGAGATGAGACAAATATGTAAAAAAAAACTCTGCTTTGTCTTTTCCTCTGACGGTAATAAGCCGTGAATTAACCAAACACTCAAAAAGACAAAAGTTTTTAATCAATTATTAGTGTTTAGAGATATGAAAAAGCTTGACAGATTTGTCAAAGCCTAACTTTTAAGTTAAGTCCCCAAATGCCCCAACCACCAAAAACCTAACCTCGAATGGAAAAACAAAATTACAGCTTTCAGA